CAATGCCAAATACTGACTGAGCATGTACATCAGTAATTACTAAAAGGACACGGATAAAGTGAAACATGGGAACAGTCTGTTATGATCTTCTATCATGTCGCACATCGTATTGTCTGCAAATATATACAGAGAAAGACTTGTTCGGGCCAGCCTACATTTGTTGCATGTTTTCAGACTATTGAATTCTTCGTAAAAGGTTTTTTTTTTTCCAGGCAAGGAAGAAGGAAGCCCGTTTTTAGGATCTTTCATCGTTGAAACAAAAGTACACTTGAATGGCTAACCACAACGCAGAGTATGCTAATGAGACAAACATATCTGACACCATTTTTTTAGGTGCTACCTAGCCTTAGCTACTGCCAGAATAGCATCAGGCTAAGATTTTCTGAGGAAAAACAACTAAACTCAGCCAATAACCCAATGTTTTCCCAATCTTTGTTAAATAATGTAATATTATGTTAATTTTTCCCTTTGGAGTTAGTTTTAAACTTGTCATCATTCTGTAGACTAGACTGTTTTGATTACTGCCAGGCAGGCTACTGAGGGTAGACTTATACCAGCTAACTGAAAATCTATCATCAATATTAATAACATATTTTATTAAATAACTGACATTAGTCTACCGACATGTTTTACCAATTTTATTTTTATTTGGTTATTAGTGTATAGGTGAGACAAAATAATTATCCATGTTATTATTCTCTATTTCGGGTAAGCAGACACGTAATGTACTTAATTTCTTAAAGTGCATTTATGTACTGGTCTGGCTTGAATGATAACAGCACTTGTTAATTTTATTACGGTAGTTGTAGTGTATCAGCTCTGCTTTTTGCTCCTGCTGTTATTGCTTAATCGAGTTTGATGGTAATCTCAGTACATAATACTCATCCCCTGTTTTCATAATATGTGTAGGGTTTCTGGGTTTTTGTCCTGTCTCTGTCAGTTTCCTGATCCAACATTCAGTGTTTTCCCTTGTGTTCAGTCCCTGTCTCACCTGTGTCTAATGTTAATCACTGCAGGTGTCTGTCATTGTCCTAATCAGTGTGTGTGTGTATATTCAGTTCACTGGTGTCTTGTCTTTGTCTCGGGATTATCCTTCCATGGTGTCGTGTTCAGCCTTTTGTCCTGTCAGCCCTGATCTGCCTGTTTCCAGTTTGTGAGTAGCTGCCCTGTCAGCGTTTTGATTTTGTTTTGAATAATAAATATTTTTACGTTTTCCTCGAGCGTCCTTGTCATCCTCCCCGCACCTGGGTCCAAACACTCCTGATGGCCGAACGCGACAGAATCCTGAGACCAATTCTGAACCCAGCGGGTTACTTTGTTTGAGTTTTTGGCTCGTGAGGCAGAGAAGACGGCTCAGCGTGACAGAGAAAGGGAGGAGAGAATTAAGAATCCGTTTTGGGGGACCCGCCTGGCCACTAAACCTGGGTCCTCAGCCTCTCTGTCTCACTCCTCCTCATCTGCTCATCACGCTGCTGCACCCCGCTGCCCACCTCCTCCTCGTTCTCCTCCTGGCTGTCCCGCACGATCGTCTGAGAGAGGGGGGGCAAACTGCTGGTCCTCCCCGAATCCAGCGCATGGAGGAGAGAGCTTCGCAGGCGAGGGGGAAGCCCAGCCCTCGGTCGCCGGTTGAACGGCAGAAGATTTCGCTGGGGGGGAGGTACCCGTGTCCATGAGAGGAGCGGTCCGGCTCTCGCTCGCTGGAGGAGCGAGGGGGAAGTTTGCTGAGGGAGAGGAACCCATGCCCACACTTGCCGGAGGAGCAGTCCAGCCCTCCCTCACTGGAGGAGCTGAAACAGTGGCAGGCTTCTCTGGTGGCTATATATCTTGGTCCGCCCAGCCACGAGGAGGTCCAGGCAGACACTCCTCCATCTCCTGCTGCAGCTCCTTCTCCGCCACCTGCTGCAGCAGCCCTGAGCCCATCTCCTGCACCTGCAGCTCCGGACTCTGTTCCTGCAGCTCTGGCCCCATCTCCACTGGCTGCATCTCTGGTACCTGGTTCTCCAGTTGTAGCCCTGTTTCTGGTCCCTGGTTCTCCAGCTGTAGCCCCGTTTCTGGTCCCTGGTTCTCCAGCTGTAGCCCAGTTTCTGGTCCCTGGTTCTCCAGCTGTAGCCCCGTCTCCCATCCCTGGCCCCCCAGCTGCAGTCCCGTCTTTGGTCCCGGGTTCTCCAGCTGAAGCCCCGTCTCCGGTCCCTGGTTCCCCAGCTGCAGCCCTGATCCCTGGCTCCCCAGCTGCAGCCCCAATCCCTGGCTCCCCAGCTGCAGCCCCGATCCCTGGTTCTCCAGCTGCAGTCCTGATTCCACCACCACCACCTGCTGCAGATCTGGTCCCCGGCTCTTCTCCTGAGGCCCCCAGCCCATCTGAGGTTCTCGCTCCCAGCTCTTCGGCGGAGGTCCTTGCTCCTGGCTCGTCTTCGGAGGTCCTCGTTCCCGGCTCATCTTTGGAGAGGTCCTCGCTCCCGGCTCTTCGGCTGAGGTCCTCGCTTCCGGCTCGCCTGAGGTCTTCCTCATTTCCGACCCGCCTGAGGTCTTCCTCATTTTCAACCCGCCTGCGGAGGTCCTCACCCCTGGTTTGGCTTTGGGGGTCCGCATCTACCTGAGTCCAGGCGGGCAGAGATGTACGTCTCTACTACCCTGGAAGGGATGGTCCCCTGGAACTCTGGTCTGAGGGTGGATGGTTTCCTGGTCGCCCCCCTCATCTCTTGCCTCATCTGTGATGGTACCCTGGTTGCCCACCGGAACTCTGGTCTGAGGGTGGATGGTTTCCTGGCCGCCCCCCTGATCTCTTGCCTCATCTGGTACGGTCACCTGGTCGCCATCCTGAGTACTGGCCCTGCCCTGGATGGTCTCCTGACTGTCCACCTTGACCCTGAGTTGGGGTTTTTTGGTTTTTGTGTCTTATGTTTCCCAGGTTTTCCTGTCCATTTTTTGTTCTTCTGGTCCTATGTGTTTCTCTGTCCTTTATTGTCCCGCCTCCCACCCAAGTTGGATGTATCTTGTTCTTGGGATGTCAGGAGCCATCCCTTGAGTGGGGGGTACTGTAGGGTTTCTGGGTTTTTGTCCTGTCTCTGTCTGTTTCCTGATCCAGCATTCAGTGTTTTCCCTTGTGTTCAGTCCCTGTCTCACCTGTGTCTAATGTTAATCACTGCAGGTGTCTGTCATTGTCCTAATCAGTGTGTGTGTGTATATATTCAGTTCACTGGTGTCTTGTCTTTGTCTCGGGATTATCCTTCCATGGTGTCTTCAGCCTTTTGTCCTATCAGCCCTGATCTGCCTGTTTCCAGTTTGAGTAGCTGCCCTGTCAGCGTTTTGATTTTGTTTTGTATAATAAATATTTTTACGTTTTCCTCGAGCGTCCATGTCATTTTCCCCGCACATGGGTTCAAACACTCCTGACGGCCGAACGCGACAATATGTATATGTTTATTTAAGTAAAATAAGACCAATTGTACACATTTTTGGATTGATGACACAGCATAAGATGTTAACAATGTGTGCCTTTCCCATGTAAACAGAACATAGTTGTATGTGTTAGGGCCATACAATATATTGCAAAGTTATTGTCATTGCAATATCAGTGAATGCAATATCAACATCCTAAAAGACTATTTGGACTGCATTAAATCATAGATCATTGTATTTCAAGTACCATACATTCATGTTCTTCATGCAGTTTGCATCTTCATTGCAGTTTTTTCTAATTATTGTGCTGCCCTATTATTTGTAGCAAAAAGCAAGATGGCAGTCACAAAATCCCCTAATGTTGTCACTGGTCAATACATTTCTATTTCCGTGCTTTCCCTTTCCTCCTTTTCTGATGAAACGTTTGCAACATAGTTAGTTTTCTGGATATACTTTAAACAACAATGCTCTTAGCATATTAAACATACTGAACTGATGCTAGTGAGGTAATTATCAACTTGAAAAAATATTGAAGTATTTTGAATTGTCCATCTTCACTTAGGTTTGTCAGTGCAAACTAAACCCCACATGTGAATGTCAATGCGTGTGTGTGTTTGTGTGTAAGTATATGTGTGCATTTTTAAATCAGAATCTAATTTGCTGGATAAGGTAACACGATTAGGAGCTTTATGCGGTACCTTACATTTTCACTAACACACGTTATAGTTTACATGGTAAACACAGGTGAACTCCCCATATTTAACTTTACATATACTATATTTTCCTGAAAAAGACTTTAATAGAAAATGTTTGGAAAGTTGTGCATTGTCAGTGTGTGCAATTCCTTAAGCGTGACAAGTTTTTGTCCTGTCGCAGAGCAAAAAGTCGTAATTGGAAATGCCCTTTGTCCGTTTGTCTGTCCATGTATGTTGTCAGTGTGATAACGAAAAAAACAAGTGAGGTACTGACTTCCATTTTGGTGTGTGGCTGCTTCTAGGCATAAGAAAGTCACCATTTGTAAATTAAGATGCCATGTCAAAATCCAAGATGGCCATTTCCAAGATGAAAGTTTATTCAAATGATTGTGAATGCCTGTGGAGTGGCCAAGGCCACCACTGGCCACCCCCTGGCTCCACCACTGCACCTGTAGATAAAATGATGCCTGCCGCTCACCAGGATCCATCACTTTGCACCTCCTCGGACAAGAAAAAAAAAAACCTCTCTTCTGCCACACAGTGTAACTCCTACCCACTTGAATATCTTGCACCAAAAACATTAAGGTTTACTTTCATTCCCTGTTCAATTCCAGTCAAAAAAACACTCATCTTAAAAACTACAAAAAAATGACTATTCAAATCCTTCATCGACGGGGACATCAGTGCACTGCTTGTTTAGTTGGTTGTAGCTGGAAGGTGAACTCCATCCATCCATCCATTATCTTTTACCCGCTTCTTCCTTTTTGGGTCATGGGGGTCACTGGTGCCCATATCCAGCAGTCACTGTGTGAGAGGCGTGGTACACCATGAACAGGTCGCAAGTCCACCACAGGGCCAAGACAAAAACCACTGAAAGTAAACTGTTTCTCCTTTTGTCCTCTTTAGATGCTGTACCAGAGGAGCTGGCTGAGCCCTTCTACAGGGACCAGTACAACCAGGAGCACTTGAAGCCTCCAGTCGCCTGCCTGCTTCAGTCTGCAGAGCTGTACTGCCGCGCAGGGAGCCTGATCCTCCGCAGCGATGCTGTCAAACCTTTACTGGGACACAACGCCGTCATTCAGGCCCTGGCACAGAAGGGTCTGTACGTCACTGACCAGGACCGACTGGTCACAGAGAGAGACTTGACCAGCACGCCCATACACATGGTGAGTGGAAATGTTCTTAACCAAGTGCTGGGTCTTATTCTGTGAAGCAGTGGGTTGAAACCTTAATATTTTCCTGTTTGTTTGTTTTTTTGTGGATTTCAAATCGTAAAATGAAGATTTATTCAGAACTGTATTTTCTGTTTGCATACTTTGTCCTTCACCCAATAAGTTTGTATTCATGTTTTTAGTACTGGTATATATTGGTAACCATATAGATTTGATGTGTAAAATACTAGCCCGTGATTCAGCTCTTACAATGATTTGCCACGTGGCGGTGTAAAAACAGAAACAAAAGCCTGCAAATTTCTCAAATTCCTGTAATTAATCCATATCTATCATATAAAAAATATCTCAACACAGACAAGAGAAAAGTAACCACTTCCAGCAGTATTTGTTTCATTGATTAAATTAACTGTTCTTTCTGTTGGCGAACAACTTTAATGTTTAAACTCATTTATTCCTGTGTTTAACTCATGTGGAATTATTATATCATGAGTTATATCATTCTACTGATCATCTTGGTTTACTTGACTTAGCTGTGTGTACTTACAGATCTGTCCTCTTTGGATCAAAACAACCTCTAATTACAGGTTGGCCCATTACGCACTGTATCATCAGACATCAAATCCAAACATGCCCCAGCTCACACCGCAAACATGTATTTTTGACATTGACCGCTGAGTGAGATGTAAAAAAAGTCAATCATAATGACTCACTTCTGAAACATGTTCGTGTTTTCAGTTGTAAGAGATCTTAGGCATTCAAATAAAGACTCTCAGTGTGTCCCATTTTTATCATTATTATTATTATAATACACACCTGTCAAAAGTAGGGATGCACGATATTGGATTTTTGGCTGATATCCAATATGCCAATATGTTAAAACTTATTTGGCCGATACCGATATATTTTATATACTTTCCTTTGTCAGAACATCGCCCTCTTATTTAGGCTTATTTGCTACAAAAAAATGTGTAACAGTTGTAAGAGCTGGTGACATTTATTCAGCAACAGCCATATGCATCTTTAACTTATATTAAATGAAAAGTGTTAAATATTATTTATTAGCATTAGTCACCTGCAATGCTGTCTCACTTGTGGAGGCTTGTTCTGGGTTCCTAGCTGCAGTGTGGGATCCTCTGCACTCCTGTGCATGAAGGACAACCTTTTAAAGTTCACAGTTTTCATCTATCCATTGTGCCGTAAGACTAATCATGCTAACGGGGCTAACACTTGACGTCCAAATGTCTGTGGTAAAACTCACCCAAGTGCTATCGGCTATTAACTTCTCAATGACGTCAGAAATGACGGCTTGTAACTTGGGTAAGGTTACGTCGGAAAAATAGATCCCACTGGGGATGATGTAGCGAGGCTCAACGTAGTCCAAAAATCTTCGGAAGCCGACATCCTCACCAACGAAAAACAAAACTTCCACACGCCGACATTTTGAATTTTCCTCTCCGCCACTACAAGCATCTTTGTCATTGGGTTGCCATACAAAAATAGCGCATTTTATATGAGTGAGTTATTTTGGTGGAATGGCTGATGTCACAAGGTCAAGGTCACAAATCAAGGTCAGTGTTCCCCTAGATAACTTGCCATGACGGGGCACTCGGTTCGGTTGACGGGGCAGTGCACCGCGCTTGTATAATGATAGTGGAAACACCGAAGGTCAGTTTTACACGAGGTCTTCGCGTATCCTGACCATTGCTATAGATTGCTGTATAATAATTTGTTGACGGGGGAATAATGTGTCATATGCTGTACTTATTATTACTGTAGTGAGTGAGTTAAAAAAGGCTGAAATAATTAATCTGTGGTGTTCTAAAAAATATAAAGTATAAAAATAATAATAAAGTATAAAAAGAAACAGTAAATAAGGACTGTTTCTTTTTATACTTTATATTTTTGCTAATTTTGGTTGTAACTGGGACCCTGTGTACACAATTCCATTCCACCTCATGTAATACATGTGATACGAATGACAATAAAGATACTTGGACTTGAACTTGAACTTGATTGACACTAATGAATGAGTTAAAAAGGCTGAAATAATTAATCCGTGGTGTTTTAGTTGTGAAATGAGTTTCGGTGTGTGGCAGCAGACACTTCTGCTGACGCCAAAAGGTGTCTGCATTGCAGAGAACTCACCCCCACTGCTCTCACTGTCCATGTTTTTCTTTGTTATGGTCAGGCTTGTTTTGTCACTTAGATCTTTATCTCACTATCTATAGTCTTTTTTGCCATTTAAATCTGAACTAAATATTTTTTTCCTGCAACACTTCACCCCTTCATTCTTTGTTTTATTAACACCGCTCCTCTGTTAAAGTAAGAAGTTATAGATGTTTTTAGCCTGCATGTTTGATCGAACTAATCATTTATTGATTCAGGAGTGATGGATGGTAATTGGGGCGTTAAAAGTGCTTGATGTCCACTGGTTGTCCGCTCACCTCTTGCCTTCTTTTGAGCACTTTCAGTGATTTAATGACGTTTTAGTGTCAAATAAATTAAGCCTTTTGACCATCGACCTTCTCTAAACTCCAACACGTCACGAGGCTGGTTCTCCAAAGCAGATGAAGTGTGTTTTTGTGCAGTCAGCAGGATCGTTTCAATGAGTAGAAGGCTTTTTTTTTTTTGGCTTGTGGTATATCTGCAGAGAAAATGATGATCTCATGGTTTTCCAAACACTGTGCTATAGAGTAATAACTCTTGTCAGGGAGGGGAAGGAGTGTGGCGGACTGTCAGAGGGTGAATGAATATTGGGAAAAAGGGAGGGAAAATAGGGCGATGGAGTTTAGGAGCTGCCATATGGGTGTGATCCCGAAGGAAGCAAGAAAGTAGAGCGAAATATAACAAGAAAAGGTGAACAAAGCACAACACAAATATTAAAAAAGAGACGAGCTGTGGAGAGGTGGAAGGAAAAATTGTTTAAGAAGAGGCGAAAAGCCTTTTGGTGAGGATTTGTGCAAAAGGAACGATTGGAAAAGGTCTCATTAATGTGCCCATCTGGAAAAAAAGAGGGAAGGAGGGGAAAAAAGAAAACAGTGGAGGAGGAGACATGGAGCTCACGGGGGAGAAGGGAGGGTTGTAGGAAGGGAGAGGAGAAGACGTGATGTGCACTACTGCAGCAGTGTGGAGGGTGGGGTCTCAGGCTCGTCTGGTGCACAACTGACACCCCTCATTACTCCTCCTTCACACACACACACACACACCCCTCTGAGGAGGTGTCAGACCTCCAGCAATGCGCACGAGATTTAACTGTTCTTTTCAACATCTACTTTTTCATTTCAGTTTGTGTCTTTTCCTGATTTGCTCTTTGTAAAAATGCAGAGATGTAAGAGTGACAGATGTGGCTGAGCCGAGGAGGCGATAAAACCTAATGTCTGCAGATGTGTGTGTCACAGGAAATGTTTCACCTTGATGCAATGAATGAAGGTGAAACATTGTCATTTTTTTAACTATTGTTCTATACCTCCCCTCCCTGTATGTTTCAGTAAAACAGATTTATCGTAAAAAAAAAAAAAAAAACAACAACAACAAAAACACTTGTAGGTCATCGTTATCCTGACCTGCACCATTAATGGAAACTAGTTGTTTGAGGAAAATGTGGCTTCTTTGATTATGTTTGCTCAGCTGCGTCGTGCCTTCCTATGGATGCCTTTGAAGGACTCTAACACGTCCCCGCCCTTGCAACCATGCAGCGGCGAAGTGGATGCTCCGTTTGGAGGTGTGTGTGAGTGTGCTGCAGCCCTGAACCACTCTTTATGACCAGCTTCTGCCATTTGTACAGCCTTATAAGGCGTGTCTGTCCCTTGGAGCGCTTCTGTGCACACATACACACACCCCAAAGGCCTTTGTGGATGCATAATAGGCAGCACATGGCTTTTAAACTCATGCTATAGAGTCAACAGTGGCCTCTCTTTTCTCTACAGTGTGTAGTAATATTTGTAAGCATTAACTCCTGCTCCCACCTGACTTTTTCTTCTCTTACTTGCTGATATATTTGCTGTTTAATTGTGTTTCTTTCTTAAAATGATATGCGAGTAAGACGTGTTCTGGTTTAATGATATTCCACAGCAACAGACATATTATGGCCGCAGAGTACTGTACATGCAATAGAGCAGTGGTTCAAACTGTGGTCCTTGAGGAACACCGTCCTTCATGTTTTACTTGTTTCCCTGCTTTGCCGCACCTGATTTGAATGAAAGGATGGTTAACCAGCTTCTGTAGAACTTGAGGAAGTAATTAAATCACTGAATCAGGTGCGATGGAGCAGAGGAACAACTGAAACATTCAGGATGGTGTTCCTCAGGGACCAGGGTTGGGAACCTCTGCAGTACAATGCAGTACAATAGAGTACGTGCAGGGACACTTGAAAAGTAGTAACACCTCTAAGGTCGTTTTCACACTAGATAGTCCGGTAGACTCAGTTCGGTTCGGGACCAATATTCATGAGCTTTTGTTTACATTTGAGCTGGTGAGTTTGCATTCACACTGCACTGTGCAGTCGAGTCAACCTGTTGAACCAACCTGTTCCCCCGCTCGCCTGTGGGGGCGCTGCACCAAGAACTACTGAAAGAAACAACACAAAAACCTCTGAAGACACTTCTTCTTCTTCTGTAAATAAAAATAAAAACGAAGTGGCATCAAGTTTTAGCAGTTTTAGGAGTTATATTTTGTCATTTTTCAAAAATAGACTTAGCATGAGCAGAAGATGAGACAGAAGACCATGGAGAATATTGTTTTTCACACAAGGCAGCTGACGGCTCCATATAAGGT